CCTCTTCCCTCCTTTGTCGCCTATTTCTAGGCGAAGTAACATGAGGGCATTTTCATTCCTTTCCTCCGGCTGATGAGATATTGGAGGTGGGGGCTGTGGTCTATTCCGAGACTCGCATTGTTGTTGTTGATGCTTGCACCTCGGTTCTGCGGGGCCAATTCTGTCAAAGACGCTGTTAGACCTCCTAGGTCTTTGTTCTGGCTCGTATGCTGGTGGAAAGTTATTATTGTTATACCGGGCTTCAGTGGGTCGGCCTACAGCATAATTGGAGGAAACATCAACTTCTATTTCCCTCTCCATGGGGCTTCTGCCTCGGCTGTATTCTGGTGATACAACCCTTTGGCTCTGGACTTCTTCATCTTGGTCGTAGTGCCCTTGGCGTGCATAGAAAGGAATAGGGAAGCTTCCCTGGCTTTGCATTTACTCATGACCATGTTTTGACTAGCAATGTCCCTCATGTTTGCAACCATGGTGGCCATTTCACTTGACAATTGAGCGACCATTCGCATGCTACCTCTTCTGTGGTGGTGATGAGGTCGATGCCGAGCTGTAGGGGCAGCTGCCGGGAGGGCATTCCCACATTTTCTCTTACCCTCCTAGGGGGTACATCCTCGTCTGAAACCCATTCTCTTCTATTCTAATCTCAAATTGTTGCTAAGTTATGAGGCTTCTACTTGTTCTTTTCCAAGAACAAATCATTTTTCAAGGGGGATGCCCAAATATTCTTTTCGATAGGCTTTCTCCACACGGTTGCTCATGGTTATAGTATGGTTTCCCATAGACGGCGCCAATTTGTTAACCCCGAATATGTTGCCAACAGATACCGGATCCACCCGCGTACACGTAAGCCTGGTCCAACACGTTAAAACACGTGGGCGGTCTAGAAATAATAGCAAAAGGGGGCGTGAAAGCGACTCAAAGGAGCAGGACGAGAATGTTCGGAATCCGACGAGATATTTGCATAACGATTGAACAATAATTACCAATCGATATTTGTAGAATGCGTGTATGAATTTGTGTGTTTTGCAAGAGAGTAAAATGTAAAAAATGTTTTATTTGTTCTTGTGTTGAATCTTGCATTACCCCAGAGATACATGTGGGAGTATTTATAGTATTACAACTTAGATCGTGGCCCTTGGTTGGGAGTACACGTGGTCTCATCTTGTAAGTTTACATGTCAAATTATAAGCATTATACTTGACTTCCTAGCCTGCTACACATTTATTAATTGGCAGCTCCACCACTACATTGATAAGAAAAGGCACTTGTACTCTATGATGGGTGTCCCATCAATCACTCGGGAAGGATCCTTGTATAAGCCTGGATCTCTGGGGAAGAGCGCTGCTTAGAGCCTCAGGACTTTGGAGGGAAAGGGCCTCGGCTACAAGATCTCCTCGGCATATTAGCTTCGACGACAACACTTGGACCACGTCTGGCGTTGTTATAGTATGCTGGTGAACTCCTGTTAGCATGGGGGCCACTGGACCTCGAATAAAATGCCAAGCGGTTCGGAAGAAGTGGACCATGGGCCCCAATGGGTCGGCCAAGTGTGTCAACACGTAACACCAGATATAAGAAAATCATGCACATACATCTCAGAACATGTTGTACATTTTGTTCTGATATAAAATCAAAAATAGGTACTTTCAAGTTACTTTCTTGACGTTCAGATGTTTTGGTAAAACAGATTTTTATCTAAGGCCATATTTGAGCCACATTTTTTTTTCAAAAAAATACATTCTTAAACAGTGATTTGATATCATTTCAACCACACATTCTTCAATAAAATAATATTACACGCAAATTCAAAAAATTTCTTTATTTTTTAACCATACATTTTTCACCAATACACTATTCAAAAATGTATTCTAAGAAAAATAATATGGCTCAAACAAGGACTAAAAGTCAATGGCTTATTTGCCTAAAACACCACGACTTAATCATACCAATATGAATCTCCATACTTGCTCCTAAAATTGTAAGGATCATACTTCATATTCACATAGTTGGCTGCCCTGGTTTCAACAAGTTTCGACTCCGTACTGGGTGCTAAAAAATTTGCGTCATCATTTTTCTCTCATGACACTTTTTTCTCTCTTTTTGGCTCTTTCGCCTGACTTGGCCGGATGGAGTAACCTCGCCTGACCCATAAATCTAGCATATTCTTGCCATTTGGAAGATTAGTGCTTGCTTGACAGAGAAGCATCTTTAAAACTGTTCATCTTTAATGGCTACTGCAATAGGAGTGGGTTTCTCTTTGCTCACTGGTCATTCCAGAAGTTCATGCAACTTCTATGAAGCAAAATTTGCAAAACTTGGCGGCTATTCAATCAAATGAAGAATTCATTTTATTTATCACTGGAAGATAATATCCTTGATCAGAGGGATACACGTTGGGACTAAAATTTAAACAGTTGAATTCAAGTCAAAAGGCTCATATATAAGATATCAGGGATCACTATTTTTCATCCCTCTTGTTAACTTGATAAACAGAAAGAAAACCACAGATTAATAGAATTTACCTTTTTGGAGAAAAAAGAGAAACTAAATCCCTGCTGAAGCATCTTAATTTTCAGGCACACTGTCTCACTCAAGAAACAATACCTGATATGGCAACAATGCAGTGGAGCACAACAATTTTCTTACGTGAAATCGAAGGTGCTAAGATAAATGACTTGCATTCAAAGGGACAAAAAGAAACGATTAACTACAACTTCCTAAACTCATTTATATCCAGATTCCTGACTTCTACTACTAGTTTCTCCCTTTCATAAAGGAAGAAAACAATATTTATCTAACTTCACATATGGAAGTGCATTCCTAAAAAAGGGAACCAGGAAACAAGACACAAAAAAGATAGCATACGGTTAAATCACAACATGCAAAGTTATTGACGAGACAAAAACATACATTTTGTGATATCAAGCATGATTGCATGATAATTTATATATCAATTCACATTATCATTCTATTTGACGGAAAAAAATGCATGTTAAAATGCCTATCCAAACAGATATTATGCAACTACAGTTGACATAACAATTGGACAAGATTTAGGACATATAGTATTTCACTTAGCCAACTTATGTGCTGAATATTCAAGAAAACATTGTCAATTGGCAATCCAAACCAATGGCATACATAGAGCTAATCTAGTAATCACAGTCTTCTTTGTCAAGAGAGATCTAATGAAGAGCAGCAATGCGTCTGTCAAGGAAGCACTAATTACTCTCACTTATCTCTGCACAGTTTCTCTCATCACTCATACATACACTTAATATTCTATATTTTGTCTTTCAATTCTTTCATCTACACATACATATGCAATACACTACAACACTATATAGAGGTCGGAAGTCGGTGGAATTGATTCAACCAAATTCTGTATTATTCTTTCTATTGCCCGTGGTAGAATTCTCCAGAAATGACAGAGGTCTTCAACTCAACATTTTCCAGATTTTTCTACAAATATAAGTTACGGAAGGTGGAAAACTCTAGAATTTTTCTTCAAAGTCGGTGATGACTTCTACACCAGATATCTATATAGAATACATTAAGAAAATAGTTTTATCTCTTCAACAATATTTTCGTACATATTCAACTGTGGGGACTCCATTTTGATTTATCAAACTCCTAGAAATCTGGATAATGCAGCACAATTGGACGAACCTACTTCTCCTATCTTTCTTACGACAATCTGAATATTGGTTAATGAAGGGTTATAACACCAATAATCATACCAATTTACAAAAGGCACAGAGGCAGCCCTGAGGGTGCGCGAGTTGAGCGGCCGCACAAGGTCTCAAAATTGTTAGGGCACCAAAATTTTTTTTGTTATAGTTGTATATTTTACAATTAAATATTTAAAATAAATATTAATTTTAAAATATAAAATTTTTATTATTGTGCATAAGATACAAAAATTAAGAATAATGTGACTAAGTATATATAATGGACTGAGTAAAAAGAAAGCTGGGTAGGTTGGCTACGAATTGAGATATGTGGTTTTAATTTTTATTTTTATTTTTTTATGCAACATAATTAAATCAATATTCCATGGACTCCAAAAGGCAACAGACAAGACTAAATAATTATAATTTTTTGAATATAATATTCTTAATATAGTTTTCTACCTTAAAAAATGTCATTAATGCTGGAAAAGGGAAAAGGCCCAAAGGAGAGATCTGGTCGGCAAGAAGTGAGAATAAAGAAAACGTTTCCTTTTCCAATCTTCCTTTTGGAGAAGAGCAATAAATTCCAACGAAACGTCTCTTCATAAATTGGAAATTGTAGAAGTTCTAGGTTATTTATTAAAATTTCAGATTATATGTATTCTTCATATAAAATTTTAGATTATATGTATTCTTCACAAATCGTCTTTTTCATCTTTGATTTGGCTCCTGAAAATTCTCTATTTTCCTATGACAATTGATGATCGAGGAAGCACTACATACTTTTTCTCAGGACTTAGGAGAAGTTGAACACTTACAAGTGAGTTTTTTTTTCTCAACATATTTTTTCTTTAATAATTTCTCTGAATATTCAAGAAAATATAAATTCCTTTGACTCTCTTTTCATTTGATTGGTGATACACAGGTTTTTGAAGAATCAAGATTGCTTTAATTGGTTATAAAGATTTTGCTGATTTAATATTTAATCAGGTGCTATCTTCTAATTTTATTTTATTTTTATCTCCTTTAAACATTATATGCTTTCATAGTTTTTATTGTTTTTGTCAAATCGAACTTTAAAATGTATCATAGAAAACAACAATCAGGATTTGGAAATGAGCTAAAAAGAGAAAAATTGAAGAGTTGATAGAGTCTCAAAAAGGTGATATTGATAGATTTATTGTTAAAGAAACTAAAAATGTGGACCAAATACTTGAAGCTGATAAAAATGAAGATGTTGAGGAATTGAGACAAAATGAACATGATATACTTGACAATGTTGATGATAAAAATGAAAATATTGAGGAATTGAGACAAAATGAAAATGATATGCCTGACAATGTTGATAATGACAAAAATGATAACATTGATGATGAATTTCCTAAGGAAAACGATACTAGGGAAGATGTTGATGATAAATCTGTTAAAGAAAATGATACTAACGAAGATGTAGATGGTTTAATTCATAATAGGTCCATTCCCTTCAACATCTATGATCCAAGAACTTGGGATAATCTTGATATAAAATATAGAGATTTGCTAGTGGTAAATGGTCCTCCAAGAGACCTGTCACTAGAACAGGGTCCAAAAGATAATTTGTCTAGATGTTTCTCTGCGAGCCATTACACTCGTTATTTATCAAATGGTGAGAAACGTGATAGGCCATAGTTGGTGTATTCAAATGATCTTGATAGAGTTTTTTATTTTTGTGTAAGTTATTCAAAAGAGGTTTACAAAAAAGTCGGTTAATAAATGAAGGACTTAATGACTGGGTACATCTCGGCGTCAGGCTTAAAGAACATGAAATGAGTAGTGTGCATATCAATAACATGGCTACTTGGATTGATTTACGTGCTAGACTGAACAAAGATGAAACAATTGATATAGAAATTCAAAAACAAATTAGAAAAGAGAAACAACATTGGAAGGAAGTACTACAAAGAATAATTTATGTCGTGCAATACCTAGCTAAAAAATGTTTGGCTTTTCGTGGAACTAATGAGAGACCTCTTGAGGATAGTAACGGGAATTTCTTAGGACTAATTGAAATGATTGCAAAGTGGGATCCTATCATGAAGGAACATATGCGGCGTATTGAAAGTAATGAAATTCAATATCATTATCTTTCACATAAAATTCAAAATGAGTTGGTAGCTTCTTTTGCTTCTAAAATCAAAAGCACAATTATTAAGAAAATCAAAGAAGCAAAATACTTTTCTGTGATACTTGATCGTACTCCGGATGCAAGTCATCAAGAACAAATGTCCTTGATCTTAAGATGTGTAGACTTGTCTAGTAATCCAATTAAAATACATAAATATTTTGTTGAATTTTTAAAAGTGGACAATACAACAAGTCAAGGAATTTTTTAAGAATTACAAAATACTCTTATAACTCTTAGAGCCTGTTTGGGCCTGATTTTTTCACCCAAAAAATTGATTTTTTGACCGTTATTTCACTATTCCAGCCGTCATATTTGACTTCTTCTCTCACAAGTGGACCCCACTTTTCTCCTAACGGTCAAAAAATCAATTCTCAAAATCACTCCCAAACAGGCTCTTAATCTTGGCATTAATGATGTAAAAGGACAAGGATATGATAATGGATCTAACATGAAAGGTAAGCACCAAGGTGTGCAAAAAAAAAAAAAACTACTAGACATAAATCCTAGTGCATTCTATACACCATGTGGATGTCATAGTCTGAATTTAGCATTGTGTGTTATGGCAAACTCTTGTGTTAAAGCAAAAGATTTTTTTGGTGCTGTACAAGGTATTTATAATCCGTTTTCTAATTCTACAAAGAGATGGAAAATATTGAAAGACAATGTTAAAACTAATGTCAAGCCACTATCAGCTACACGATGGAAAGTCATGTTGAAGCTATTAAAGCAATTAGATTCCAAGCTCCTGAATTAAGAGAAGCTTTACTTGAAGTCGCTAAAATTGAAAATGACAATGATGTAAGGTGTCAGGCTAAAGCTTTGGCAACCCTTTATGTCGGAAATTTTGAGTTTTTAGTAGTTATGATCATATGGTATGAGATGTTGTATGCTGTTAACTTGATTAGTAAACACTTGCAATCTAATGATATACTTATTGACGTTGCTATTGAGGAAGTTAAAGGGCTGATTGCTTTTTTTTTTTTTTTTTTAAATATAGGGAATCTGGATTCAATGATGTGATAAATATTGCTAAAGAAATTGCCATTGTAATGAAAATTGATCATTTATTTCAAGTGAAACGTATAATTCGTAGGAAGAAACATTTTGATGAAAATACTACTATAGAAGATGCACAATCACCTGAAGATTCTTTCAGAACAAATTATTTCTTTTATATAATAGATCAAGCAATTGGATCACTTGAATGAAGGTTTGATCAATTCAATTCATACGAAAAAAAATTTGGATTTCTATTTTTTCTGACAAGTTAAACTCATTGGATGATGCTAATTTGAAAGCATGTTATGATCATTTTGACATTATTTTAAGACATGTAAATTTTTGCGATCTTGATGGAGAAGATTTATTTTAAGAGTTAAAAGTTTTGCAAAATCTTTTACGAAAAGAAATAAAGACAGCTTTTGATATATTGACTTATTTGAAAATATTGGATTGCTTTCTGAATACATGTATTGCTTATAGAATATTATTGACAATTTTTGTTACTGTTGCATCTGCTAAAAGAAGTTTTTCAAAACTGAAGTTGTTAAAATCTTATTTGCGATCAATCATGTTACAAGAAAGATTGAACGGATTAGCTTTGATATTTATTGAGCATGACTTTCTAGAAAATATTGATTACGAAAGTTTAATTAGTGAGTTTGCTTCTAAAAATGCGAGAAGAAATATTTTTACATGATTTGTTGCATTTAAAGCTTTACACTTGATATATATATTTTTTCAAGGTTTGCTTATATGGAATTGCACGAAGATGCCAGTGGCTTTGATGGTTCTTTGTTGATGACATGAATTTTGATGAAGTCCAGAGATGTTTTTGAGCTTTATTTATGTTTTTCTTGTTCATGTATGTAAAAAGAAAAACAAATATTTCAATATCATACTTTTGCAATGAAATCATATTATTGAAAATTTTTTTAATATATGTTTTAATTACTTGAAGGGGGCATCATTTTAAAATCTCGCACAGGGCACCCAAAATTTCGGGACCGGCTTTGAAAAGGCATAACATTTTTCAAACTTTTACAAGGCAACAAATCCATCTCAAGTACAATCTTACTTGACATCCTCAAGATATCTTCTATTTCAATCATAAAGAAATAGCAAATCACAGCTTTTGCTTGCGACACTATCTCAACTAACACCAACTTTGGCTAAACCCAAAAACAAAAACCGTAAAATATATAATTCAAGAGTTTTATGAATACTAATCTGCGTATCATGTGTTGCACAAATTTTGTATTTATTTTGGTTTTATTAGCATAGAATTTATAGATTGTACAAAAAGTATTTGGAAATAAGAAATGTTTGTTTGATTCTCATCTTTTGGTCAATTGTATATTTTATGTCACGATAATTTATTTTTATTCTTATAAATAAGTATAATGAATGTTGTGATTGTATATATGTCAACGATAATTTATTTTTAATTATTTTTTGTATTTTTTGTTTAATGTAGATGAATTTTTTTTATCTGATATTGCAAATAAGTTGTAAATTGAATTTCGCAAAATGCTTTTCTTTAACAACTTCGATTCGAGAGGCTATACTTGTAGTTCAAAAATAACCCATGCAGTTGTAAATTGAAAGAGAATATCCACATACACAAACATTTAAATAACAAACTCAGGATTGCACGTAAAATAACTTGAAGTGGCACTTATTGAATGGTCAACTTCCTTATTGGTGTAAGAATTAGAACCCTAACAGCAGGCCTATTCTTCGAACGATACAACAGTGACTTCAAGTTTGGTAGGGCAAAAGAATTTTTTAAAAAAATTTAAATAAATTTCATTTGAAAAAGAAAAGAATTAAAAAGAAATTTAAATAAATTGATAAAAAAAACCAATTATTTATAAAGTAAAATTTTCAATTTTAATTAAATAATATTTATATATTCTTCATTTAATTTTCATAACTTTATTTTATTTTTTACTTCTAAATAATTTTAAACGAATTTTTTTTACTTATATAAGTACTTTTTACATATAATAGAAATATTTTTTGTTAATATGTTTATTTTTACATTTTTTTTATTAAAAGTGATTTTTTTTTTTACTTATAAAAGTGGTCAGCTAACTCAGCACGAAGTAATGCGGGAGGTATGGAAGGTTGCGTGTTACATAAATTCACATTGTCTCTCTTACACTATATATATAATATAATAATATAAGCAAATGAGTTGATTTGAAAAGGCGTGTCATAGCGTATGAAAATGGAGAACGGAAAAGTACAAAAAAAAAATTTGAATAATCTTCCATGCACGGAAACCATACTATATATAAATTTTTTTAATTCTTTTCTCTTTAATTTTTTTAACCTACAAATAACTTTTTCGTTAAAATTGAAAAGTTTTATTTGGAAGATAAAAGAATTAAAAAGAAAAAATAATAGATTTTTTGTAAGAAAAAAATGAATTTTTAATACATACGTTTAATCTCCGTTTAACTATTTTCGATATTTATTTAGATCATCTGATATCTCTACGATATAGTTCTCAAAATGACTTTCGAGAGAATGTAAAATATTTATCGATTCGACTATCGTGCAATGGTCGACGAATTTTAAAGTTAGCTTGTTATCGAAAATTTCGAAATAGTAATAAAATAATTGATTTTTTAAAGAAAAACGACTTATGCGTATTTTTTAACACATACATTTAATGTCCGTTTAACTATTTTTTATATCTATTTACATCATTTGATGTCTCTACAATATAGTTCTCAAAATGAGTTTTGAGAGAATATAAAACATTTATCGATTCAACTATCGTACAATCGTCGATGAATTTTTAAAGTTAGCTTGTTATTGAAATTTTCGAAATATAATTTGAAAATGCCTACTTTGACGTCCCATAACATTTGCTATGATTGACCGTTTTACGCACCGTTAATGACATGCAATACTATGTTGCGAGTACTTCAAAACGATATTAAAAATGTAATATTTCGACTTCTTTTGATATCTTGTAATGAGCGTGAAAATGAACACAAAAATATAAGTAAAAAAAAATTCATTTCTCTCATGGTTTCCGTGCACGGATCCTCTTTTTTTTTTTTTTTTTTTTTAAATAAAAGCCAATACTTCTTTATATTATATAAACTAACTACAATGATATATATATAACACGTAGTTTTTGCTCCCCACTTGGAAAAAAATGAAATTTTAAATATTAAAAAAAATTACGTCATACCGCATAATTTTTTTTGAGCAAAATGATGTATTGAGAAAAATGTTGTGAAAAATAATAAATAGTAATTAAAAATTGATTTTTTAAGATGCATGGAGACATTTGTCTCCATGCACGGAGGCTTCAGTTTAATTTTTTTCCCCCCTTCCACGGAGGCTTTTGCTCCGTGCACGAAGAGATTACTTCTTTTTTTGTTTTTAACTGTGTAGTTTTACGTTATAACTTTTTTTTTAATTTAAAATTCTCTTTAATTCTTTTCTCTTTAAAATTTTTACTTACAAGTAATATGTTGTAAAAAAAATTCTGTCGCATATTATCTCTATCTCTTTTTTTTGAATATAAAAGTGATATTTTTCTTATATCCCTACTATATATATCTATATTGGAGTGGGGGAGGAATGAAAATTGCGTGTTGCAGTAAATTTGGAGGTAGTGTACAATAAAATAAAATATATATCAAGCAAACGGCGTCGTTTTTGACCCCCAATTGAAAAAAAAAACAAAAAAATAAAAAAGCTACAGTAAAGATGAATTAAGACACTGTTGCTTTCTATAGTGCCCTCACATTCCTTTTTTTATATAGTAGGGAAAAGTGCTCGTACACGAAATGTCTTTCATTGAAAATGAGGTTAAACTTTTCTAATCTCCAGTGCATCATTGGTAAATTTTTTAGTTATTTGAAAGCTGAAGCATATGAATATAAAAAAAAAAAAAAATGTAATCTTCTCTCTTTACATGTTCCAGAACCAAAGAGGGAAGGAGCATTACATTCCCAATATTCTAAAAGGCATGCATAGCCGAAGTCTAGCGAAAACGCCAAGTCAAGTGGCTTGGTGCCTCATTTAGTAGTCGACGATGGCCGTTGATTGCTACCTAGGCATGCATTATTATCTTCTTCTTTTTTTTCTTTCTTTTTTCTTTTTTTTCACAGTTTTTTTAATTTAAAACATAAGGCAGATTTCTTTCCTTCATTTGCCCTAAACTCAAAATAGCCGCTTGAACCCTTAAACAAAGGAAAACTCCCAAAAAAATTTATTAATTTACTATTTAGTATTTACATTTGAACCTTATCTTCTGTTGGAAACTTAAAAAAAAAATGTATAAAGTCCATATAAATATGTTTTAGATGTTTGATAGGTACTATTTTTAATTTTTAATTTATTTTTTGATTGATTAAAAATTAAAATAACAAAATACTTTTTTACGTTTTTTTACGCTTATGCATCGTCAAAGCTCACCTAGCCTATAACTTGGCCTCCACGCATCGTGAAGCATTACACCTTTTAGAACATTTACCATACCACACTTAAAAATGCTGAAAGGTCATCTGATATATTCATCTTGACTCAAGTATAATTCAGCAGAATGGACAGGGAAGCGCACATTAGGAAAGTAGGGGAGAAATTCGAACGATGTCGCTATTCTTAGCATCCACGGCGAATAGCTATCCATCTTGTAAGATACGAATAAAGTCCTGAACAACGCTTTCAACTAGAATTGAAGCACATTTCCATCTGCATCAAGGCTTACACGAACCAATAAATTGTACGCATGCAGATATAATGTTGAATTTTCTCTAGAGTTTATGGTTTCAACCTAATATTATTGTCCCTCCTCCCACCAGGGAACTACCCTGATATAGAAAGCAATGCAATAAGAATAACAATGTGCTTAAAGAAGCCACCAAACATGTTTTTAATTAGGTGATTTATATCCTCCAATGTATAATCACAAAATAATATAATGGCAACTAGTCTTCCTAAGTATAAATTCTCGCAATGGTTTCTAGTGAACCATTGGACTTCAATCTATTGCTCTATTAACAAATTAATCCTCAAAATTTATATTCAAAAGGGAAAACTAACTCTTCTACCTTTTACGTGCTGTCATTTTTTCACCTACAAAAGTGAGTTTATGGATTTTCAACCTCTATAAATATGTGAATTTCCAGTCTAAGGAAAACAATCAATGCGAACGTCAAAATCGCACGTAAATTTGAGAGAGAGGTTTATTGATTCGATGGTTTTGTCTTCTAACTTTGAGTCACATGAGAAGTCGTATGCAATTTTAAAGCTCTAATTGACAGTTTCCATCTTATGAGATCTAAATTCACATCACATCTTAAGGACACGTTTGGTGGAGTTTTTGAAAAGTCGAAAGTTGTTTCTAAGGTTAAGATGCCATTTTCAAATGTATTTGAATAATTTTTCGAAAGTGTGTTATTTAACTAAAAGAGTGTTTAGATGAAACTGATCTAAAATAACTTACTCACAAAACTATTCTACTAGAAACAAAGGGTCTATTGAGTAGACCCTAAATAGATTGGAGGCATATAATCTCACTTTTAAAAGGTCAAGAACAAATAACTATATAACAAAAAGTTTTAAAGAGACGGATATTAACCTTTTCTATATATATTTAGCTTATGTTTGATGATCATTATTTGAAAATTCTTTTTCTATATAATTATGTTTAACCACAGATTCACACAATAAAATATTATGCTCGAAAATTTAAAATTTTTTCCTACTTTTTAACAACACATTCTCCTAAAATCAGTATTCAAATTATTATTTTAGCCAAATAATGGTCATCAAATAAGGGCTTAAATTATCGTGTTATAAACTTGTATTACTTCAAATTTTGGACAGTAGTCCATTTTAAGATCATGTTTGTTATTGATTAAAATTTAAGTCAAAATCAATAATTAATTTTAATCAAATATTTAATAGGTCTCAACTTCTTAACCATACATTTTATCAAATTTTATCGAAATATACTAAAATATTGATTTTAGTCTCCACAAATAGGGGCTAAGAAACAAAATCTAATTTTTGCATTTCTTTGTAGAGGACTGCTTTTGCAATTATTTGAAGATTAACTTGTTTTCTTCTAAGGATTGATGGCCCACTTGCTACTGGCATAAAAGGTGGAGGACCTGTGACATTTTCCCTAAATAAGTAATAGGAGGCCCACTGGGCTCTGGGCCTAACTCTCTGCGTGCTATTGCCCAAGATTAAGTCGTAGCTAGGGCTATCAATTCATGGGCTGTTTGATAGGCATTTTTATGTAAAAATATATTTTATAATAGTAAATTGATGTGAAATGTGTGATTGAAAAATAAGGAAAAGTTTTTTATTTACGTGTAATATTATTTTAATGAAGAATGTGTGGTTGAAAAGAAGAGAGAGAAAAATGCATTTCGAAAAAAAGGGCTACCAAACGGGTGCTCAATATTATTTTAATTCAACAAAAATGCATTCTTTATACTTATTTTGACTTTCAACTTGTTTGGGATCTATTAAAGCAAAAATATATTTTTTCAAAACTCACTTTCAACAGCACATTTATCAATAAAATAATATTACACATAAACGAAAATTTTTTCTTACCTTTTAACTGCACATTCTTCAAAAAGTTGCTATTTCAATGTGCATTTTCTCCAAAACCCCATTAAAATTGAGCCCAAACAAAAGCTTAATGCTTACTGTAATGATAAGCAGTTGAAATTTATCTTGATTGTATCTTGTATCCTCAAAACTTCTATAGTTCCACCCCAAGGAACCTCTCTCGATTGTACCACTGAAATATTGTTCACTATATTTTTTTTACGAATGTATTGGAGTGTAAACGATTTTCTCTTATCACGTGGGTATCGTTTTTATATAATATTTCAATTAAAAATAATAAAATGATTATTTTACCCTTTTTGATATTTTAATTTGATGATTGAAGGGGTTGACTAATGGAGAATTGGGTGGAGTCTCTCCATTTGATGTATGTCTCTAATTTCTCGAAGATTGAGAATCTAATTGGCAAAAAAAAAAAAAAAAGTTTGGGAAGAAAGTACAAAAAACGTTGGGGACGTTTGCTGCAATTACTCTTGGCAACCCCGCATTGTTTTCCAAATCCACGTGTCTTTCATCTATTGGGTAAGTGACGTAGTACGCGAACGCTACTTCTTCATTTAAAGAAAACCATTTGGAGAGATCTATCCTGAATTGTTCAACCTTCAAGCAATCGATTTTCAAGTTCGTACAATTCTTTCTCTGAATAATCTCTTCTTCTTCTTTTTTTCGGATATCTGCAGATCTGTGATATGATTTATATTTCAATTTGTCGATTCGAGTTTCTAGCCTTTTTAATTCTTTTTCTTGTTTTGCTTATAATCGATTTAGAAATTAAAATTAAGAAATGGATCTTGTTTGAAACCATAGATCTTCTGAGGTTATACATCGATGCTTTGTATTTGGTGGATTGTTTTAATGACCTGCAGTCGATTTTTTGAATGCCGTTCATCTGTAAACCTTTGCCGATGCGTGGTAATTGATGCATTTGTATATTTAATATGTTGAAAATTATTTTCTTTTCTTTGTTTTCCCCTTGTTACTGGTTTGATTCGTGTTTGTTTATGTGTGCTGATTTTGCTTAATTGTTTGTGTAGTCTTCTGGTCAAACACTCAGATTACTAAAGCAATGAGATCCTTGTCATAATTTAGGTCTGTTTTAAGATAACGTGGGAAATATTAAAAGTCCCCATCTAAGGTGATCTAATAATGTTGCCAGTGTATACAATTCAACCCAGAAGCATTATGAAGCATACTTTTGCACCTTCACTTGTGTAAAGAAGTCTAAGGCTATTCATTGAATTAGTGTTGTTAATTTAGATCTGAGGTAAATTTGGCAGTGAATTTGAAAATTGACTTAGTTGTTTGAATTTCGTTCTTTGAATTCACAATCACACATCAAGAGCTAGTATATATCAATTTGAAAACATTATATCTTTCTAATATGCATCAAATTCAGTGAACTAAGATTATAAGTTGTCCTTAATCACTCTTCTTAAGCATTTCCTTGTGTAATGTGATTGTGCAGGTCTTGGGTTAGTTTAGCAAAAAAGGATGGGAGGTGGATTTAGAGTGCTTCATCTGGTTCGACCTTTTCTTTCTTTCCTGCCCGAGGTTCAGAGCGCAGATAGGAAAATTCCATTTAGAGAGAAGGTCATCTACACTGTGATATCTCTTTTCATTTTCCTGGTTTGCAGTCAGTTGCCATTGTATGGCATACACTCCACAACAGGTGCGGATCCATTCTATTGGATGCGTGTAATTCTTGCCTCGAACAGGGGAACCGTTATGGAGCTTGGTATCACGCCTATAGTGACATCTGGACTAGTTATGCAACTTTTAGCGGGTTCAAAGATCATCGAAGTTGATAACAATGTCCGAGAGGATCGAGCCCTGTTGTAAGTAGAAAAAGTCATACCATCCTTATTTTATGTTATGTTTTGATCTTTATTAGATGTTCATTGAATTATAGGTATTGGGAAAGGTCTAAACCTACAAATTTTTCCTTTTAAGTTCTACATTGAAAGAGTAGGTCGATGCATCACTTTCAAGTTACCTCTTCAGATTTATCTGTATGCTCGTGCCCATGTGGTGCTGGAGTATCTTAGAATGTTTCAAGAAGCTGAAGTTTAACTAATTCTTGATGCTATTGCTATGTAGTTGTTTATTTATTTTTTATTGTCTTAATGATGATGATCCTTAATCAACCAGGAATGGTGCACAGAAGTTATTAGGCATCTTGATAGCAGTTGGTGAGGCTGTTGCATATGTTCTGTCAGGCATGTATGGCAGTGTTGGTCAACTTGGAGTTGGAAATGCAATCCTTATTATTCTTCAGCTCTGCTTTGCTGGCATCATTGTAATTTGTCTGGATGAACTTCTCCAAAAGGGATACGGTCTGGGGTCTGGAATTTCACTCTTCATAGCAACCAATATTTGGTAAGCTTTTATTCTTTTAATCTATTTTTGCCCATTGGTTTTGCATGCTAGAACAGATATTTATCACTAAAACGTTTTCTTCATTTGCAGCGAAAGCATCATCTGGAAAGCTTTTAGCCCAACCACCATCAACAGTGGACGTGGAGCTGAATTTGAAGGCGCTGTTATTGCATTGTTCCATTTGTTGATAACTCGAACAGACAAAGTACGCGCTCTGCGAGAGGCATTCTACAGGCAGAACCTTCCAAATGTTACAAACTTGCTTGCTACCGTCTTAGTCTTTCTCATTGTCATCTACTTTCAAGGGTTCCGTGTGGTTTTGCCTGTGAGGTCGAAGAATGCTCGTGGGCAACAGGGTTCATATCCAATTAAGTTGTTTTACACTTCCAATATGCCCATTATTTTGCAGTCTGCACTTGTATCCAATCTTTACTTCATTTCCCAGGTACTAACATTTTTGTTAATATGAACAAATTGAAGTGATCTACAGATATCTGGACAATCTAATCTCAATTGTACCTACATATACAGTTGCTGTATAGGAGATACGGTGGAAATTTTCTGGTGAACCTCTTGGGGAAGTGGAAGGAATCTGAATATTCTGGCCAGTCTGTCCCTGTTGGTGGTCTTGCATATTACATAACTGCACCATCAAGGTAATCAAGAATCTTCCCGTATTTCTGTCCTTGCAGCTGCCGGTTTTAACTACCTTTTTTTCTTTGCACACTTGCGTTGAGGGGCTTAACTTTTATTTTTGCTGTGGACTACACTCACTCTTCAGTAACGATTCCTGTTGTTTTTCAGCTTGTCGGATATATTGGCCAATCCGTTCCATGGACTATTTTATATTGTATTTATGCTGTCAGCATGTGCTTTGTTCTCAAAAACGTGGATTGAGGTCTCAGGATCCTCTGCTAGAGATGTGGCTAAGCAGCTAAAGGTATGATTAATGTGCAATTCAAAATTTCCTCGATATAATGTTCATCCAATAATTTCTTGAATGGATGTCAGTATTCCTATTTAATTACCTTCCTGAAAATAATGCGTTACATGAAAAAAAAAAAAAAATGCATTTTTTATCATCAGCTCCATATATACGTAAAACTATATATCTTTACTTTATTCGGATATGAGTTGCATAAGATTTTATCAGGGATGTGAATTGAAATTAGATAATGCATCTGTACATTTAATCTTATTATCGGGAGAAGAGGTAATTAATTGAATGAAACTAATTATGTACTCTGTGAAATCTTCAGGAACAACAAATGGTGATGCCTGGACATCGGGAATCTAATCTACAGAAGGAGCTGAACCGCTATATACCTACTGCAGCTGCTTTCGGTGGCATGTGCATTGGCGCACTAACCGTGTTGGCTGATCTTATGGGAGCAATTGGTTCAGGGACCGGGATTCTGCTTGCCGTCACTATCATATATCAGTATTTTGAGACATTTGAGAAGGAGAAGACCAGCGAGCTTGGTTTCTTTGGTTTCTAAAGGACTGTTTCACTGAGCTACTCTCGACCCAAGTTTCCTTTCTTCCCGAGCTTAGAGATTGGAATGGGTGTTACCTTAGCCCAAGCCCAGGTTCCAAAACTAAGAATTTAGATTAGTTTGTTGTTAAGGTACATGTATTTTGGAAAATTCGTACGCTCTGGAGTTTCCAGCAGTTTTTGTTTGATGATTATATGAAATAGCTTATGGAGAAGCTCACTATGTTTCAACAGCAAATTCGACATGCACTGACTCGTACCTTTTGATGCTATTTAATTACACTAGTTATTGTAAATTTCACTTTAGACAAGTTTGATGAATAAGGTGTTGCCCCATATTTACTGTTTTTGAATTCCCCATTGCAATTCCGATCTATCTAATGTTTGTTTGGGAGAGATTGTTTGAAGTAAAAATGGATTGTTTTGGATAATGCGTGGTTAAAATATATGTTCACATACAAAATTATTTTTTTATTGGGAAAATGTGTGGTTAACAATGAATTTTAAGAAAAATAATTTTCAACGTGGACAATGTGGACCAAACGGAGTCTAAAATTTACTTTGAATGTGAAGGTTCATTTATATGCACTTACCAAGAACACGCGACGGAAGATCCACGAGTGATGGAGAGAGACTTGTGAGATCCGAGGGACACATGACAAACTGTGTTTGGGTATGTATTGAAGTGAGTGGACCACGTGAGATTGGGTTTAGTCCATGTTTTGTCGAGGCAAATCTAGTTCGATTGTTGAGATTCTTTCAAAGGAGATACATGGTCGAAATTGATTGGATGGCGAAATTGACGAAGGTTCTTGAGCTTGACCACGTATTGGCTTTCGGGAAGGAGGTCCGAGCAAGATCATGTGATTGAGCTCGACCAAATGGCCTTGATCGGGAAAGGGATACCTCAAGCTCGGTGCCAAAATGGTCAACCTCAGGCGTGGATTGTCTGATTTCAATCGCTTACAAGGTGGGGGTGGTCAAGCTCTCAAAAAGGTCTCCTGAGTTCGGCCATGATCAAGCAAGCTCAGCTTGGTCGATTTGGACCTTCCGTTGTATCGGTGATATGGATCCTATGAAATCGAAGCAGTTTCTTCGCGATAGTTAATATACTGGGGATTCGTTAATCAGGATTTATAGTTCAAAAATCATGTATCATCACAACGCCTAATTTTGAGTTGAGGATCTGCAGGTGCACCCATGCTCTAGGATTCCTGCAGTGTACAGTCCATCCTCAACTAGCCAGTAAAAGCTGCCAACCCAAGATACTGAATCTTGAGAACATCAATCAATCATGGTTAGGAAGCATATTTACTTCAATCTTTTTCCTTTGCTGCAAATGGATAAGGAGGGTGAAAAGCCATGTAGTTGGGGTTAATGGAGAATCCTTTTGACATCTCAATGTCCCAATCATTCAAGAGTGGAAATGACAGTGGTAGTATCAAGTGAACCTAATCAATTTCTAAATTAATGAATGTTAACAATATTCTAAAATGCTATATACTAGTATTTGACATGAAATTTACAAGTTAGAGGTTGTTTGATACACATTATTTCTGCATTATTAGAAGAATTTTTACCGTTGAAGGGCCCTATCTGTTGACTTCTCTCTCACAATGCCTAGAATTTGTGTGCTCCAACAGTAAGAATTTTCATTTTTTTGGACAAATAATGAACCCCAAACAGGCTCTTAATATAGGATATCTATTACTACATATTTGACATTTATGTTACCGATGAAATTCGAACATATGAGGTTGCTATATTTACAATAATTTAAACTTCTAAATGAATCGGTTTGATATAGTATAGAACAAAATATTCAAGAATCCAATTTCACCACCACCTATTTATAAGTCAACAATTGATAGTATGTATTAGAACACTACTACAAGTGCAGAATAAAGGATTTCCATATTATTTATGAATACGGTTGGCAGTTTTTCATTTAACAAAGGCAAAAAAAGTAACCACAGCAACACTTACGAAACATCTGGCAAAATTTCCTCTGTACAAGTAGCAAAATTGTAGAACAAAATTTGACTAACTTCGATTCACAAATTAAAGACTTCTGAAACGACATGCACGAATGCCTGCAAGTCACTCTTCTTTAGAATGTAATAATATACTAAACGTGTTAAAATTATTTCAATAATTTATTTGCCTAATATCACTTATCTTCGTGTTAAAAAAAGGGAAAAATAAATTTAATGTTGACTCTATAAATCTTCTTTCCATTGAAAATTAATATTTCGTGATAAAGATAAAACGAAAGATTTAGTTTGACAGTCTCAAAGTCTTCGAATTTATTCAACAATCGATCATTTCTGGATTATCAAAAATTATTGGATCATAAATAGGAACTATCCTGTCAATTTTTCTTTTATTAGGGCCCATTTAGAGTGAAAGGATGATTTTTTATTTTTTATTTTTTCTTTATTACAAACATATAGCTTTCTTGTGGGCTGTATTTGACCAAAAATTGTTATTAAAATATTAATTGCACTTTCCAATACGTGAGACATTGTTATTGTGTCTAATAACAACAAATGAAGACAATGGCATTATGACTTTTGAAGGAAAGGAAATATTTTTAAAAATTCATAGCCCTCTATACGAAAATAAATTTTATTTCATATTTTTGATCACATATTCTTTAATAAAATAATATTATACATAAATTTAAAATTTTTCTTATTTTTTAACCACATATTTTTCAAAATATTACTATTAAAAATACATTTTTTTCCTCAAAATGCATTTTAATGGAGTCTAAACAAGGGTATAATTTGTTGTCACTCTAAGTTGAGTCCAAACAAGATTTTGGTCTCTTGATTCCGAAGGTCGGGGTCGGGGTACTTGATTCGTATAATTTAAAAGTAGAAACAAATTTCTTTCGTCTTTAATAACATTCATGTTTGAATTATTGCTTCAAATTAAAAAGGAAAACAAAATGGCATCATTTGGAGATAGGAAAGAAATAAGGGTGTTTAGAAAACTTCCTTGTGAAATTTCCACGACTTTGTTAATCTTTGAATAAGTTTTCAAAATCTTGATTGCCTTAGTTGCCGAAACTTAGACAAAGTTAGGCCATACGTTAATTATACTTTCGATAGAGAACAGTGAAAAGATCAATAAGTATATTACATTTTCGATGTATCCATGTTTTTGTTCCAATTATGAATCTAGTTGTTCACTTGGTGCAATGAAATGGGAGGTATGACATGGAAGCCTTTATGACTGGTCTATTGTATATATTGGATACTTAGATGGTAATCTATCTTATACGTGTCATTGAACAACATACACGTTATAGTTCCTCAAGATCACGATAACTCCCTGGTCCTTGCTTACACTTGGACCCTCAAATTTACTATTGAGGATCGAGATCTGATAAGTATATTTTTACACACTTATTTGGTTCACAAACATAACTTAAACATGGATAAAATGGTTGAAATGTGGCTTAATCCTATTAAATTCATGCAATGTAGGTATTTCAATGGAAATTGTGGAATTCAGGAGAAAAGAGCCGAAGAAGGACCAAAACGAAACAAAGTGATAGTTCGAGGACCAAAGGTGAAAATATTGAGAAGTTGAGCTAAATGCAAAACGAGAGTAAAAACATGCCAAGTATGAGCTCAATGACAAAGCAAAATAATTGGAAGAAGAAAGTATTGAAGAGGGACTGAAATGAAGACAATTGAAAGTTGGAGGACTAAAGCGCAAATACTCAAAAGATGTGCCGAATGAGAGGCATGAGAATTGATGGTGTCAATCATCAATTGGAAGATAAATTTGTTGAAAAGATGAAGAAATCGAAGAAAGAAGTCAAGAGAAGCAACAAGGAAGTTCAGGGACCAAAATGTAAAAAATCACATAGTTGGTTATATCTATGCGACCGCATAGTGTAACCATCTATGCGGTCGCATAGATGGATACAGGGAAAAAAATTGGGCATTTCAAATGACCTATGCGACCGCATAGGTTCCTTCTATGCGGTCGCATAGAAGAAACTTCGGGGGGTTTTCTGCAGTTTCCTTTTTCGACTCCAACTTCTTTCTTACCTAATTTGGACACGCTATATATACCCTAAAACACGTCCAGAACTAGGGTAGACGATTTTGGGAGAAAAGAGGCACACAATAACATCAAGATCCAAGAGTTTATGCAAGAAGAAAGAGGATTTCATCAAGATTGAAGATTTCAAGCATAAATTCTAATAGGGTGATGTCTTCTCCTTTATTCAATCTTTGCAATCTTCTTCAAAATATGATAGACTAATTTTTTATTTCATTGGGAGTCGATGAACCTTTGATTTTCTTATAAATTCGCATATTTCATGAGTTTAATATAAATTGTCTTTGGAATAAATTGTTTGATTTATATTGCTTTGATTGAATCCATAATTTATTGGCCATTTATTATGTGATTGTGATGGTTTATTCTTTACATTCGAAAGAAGTAGAATAGACTCGATATATATAAATTGACATAGGGTTCGATAGGGGATAGAAATATACCCCTATGCTTTATGCATTTCGGTAATTGTTCATAGAATTTCATGCGTTTTTGTATGTTACATCATCCATAAAAATATAGGCTGATGATATGTAGAAATAGATCTAATATATATCGAGAGAGTATACTAGATAGGCGTAGGAACATTGAATGGACAATTTTCCATTGATTAATTGGATTTGTGAAATTAGGGTTTATAGAAATCAAATGGGGATTCGATATCCCAATGATGTTATTTCAACTTATTTCTACAATTTCATTTACAACATTGCATATTTACATTTTAATTGAGTTGTTGAGTCATTTAATTAGGGGAATTTCGAAATTAGGGTTTCCAATTTCGAAATTAGGGTTTTCTTCAAAATTAGGGTTTTTAATTGGGGGTTTCTTCCAATTTTAGGGTTTTTCACATTTAAACCAAATTTTCATTCAATTAGATTCGATTAAGGTCACATTGGTCTAATTAGAGCTAATTTAATCCTCGTGGGAACGATACTTGGACTCATAGTCCATTTTTACTACTTGTTAACGAACCGTACACTTACGGTGGGTTTTAAAATCGAAACAAATAAATACGCGAACAAGATCCTAATGACAATCAATGAAAATGATGAATACAAGTGAATGCTAGTAAAGCATTAATCAAGCCACTTTTGTATCCTTAATGGATAAGCCAACACTCGACATGTAAACAAAGAGTATCAGTGAAGATCGAGTGCTTGACAATTGTAGTCACGCAACGATCGCTTGCCTACGTGCAAGACAAGTGCCAGCTAAAGAATTCTCACAACCCACATATTGTTGAAAGAAGGAGGGTACACAAACGAGCCCCTAATGAGATGATCGAGTTGGTGGAGTAGGTAAGCGTGGAGGTTTTTGGTCAAGAGTCCAATTCCCTCTACCAACACCTTCTCGGTCGAACCTGTCGTACCGTACTTGCCTAGTGTAGTTTACTTGACAGGCGTGGTTTACAAGTTATTGCGTCAGCCCAAGGGTTTACCTAGTCCGCACTCGAAGGGTAGCGACTACCAGTTTCCCCGTATTAAAAAAAAAATGGTACGCAAAAGAACAAATCTTGCATCTCATTGGATCGCTATAAGCATGTATATATCTACAAGCATATATGTCCTTAAGACATGTATTTCTTCTGTTTTTGTGAATTATTCTGTACTTATATCTTCTTTGTTTATTTATCATTGTCTCTATTTTCAAAAGTCATCCAAGCGATCAAAAAGATTAATGTTATTTAACTTAAGTGAAATTATAATCACGACTATATGACACTAAAGTGACATAGCCCCGTTTGGCCCCCATTTTGTCGAAATGGAAATGGGTGGAATAGTATTTTTTTTGAAAAATAAGTGGTTGAAAAAGAAGAAAAAAATTTCGATTTACGTGTAATATTATTTTATGGAAGATTGTGTGGTTGAAAATAAAAAAAAGAAAAGAAAAATGAAATGTAATGGAATGAAAATTAATGAAGGCAAATGAGGGCTAAATGATAGGTTAAGCCCCCGTTTGAGCTCCATTACGTGAAAAAAATAATGGAGAAATAGTGTTTTTTTGAAAAATAAGTGATTGAAAAAGAATGAAAAGTTTTCGATTTATGTGTAACATTATTTTATGAAAAATTGTGTTGTTAAAAATAAGAGAAAAAAATAAAATGTAATAGAATTTAATATAATGGATCTCAAACAAGTCTAAATGCAGCTATCATCCCCATTGGGAACCCCACCAAACCCAAACAGTCAAACACACACAGACGTTAAAAAAGATCAGATACGAAAATGTCTGTCTTCCTTATCTCCATGCATCTACCTGTGTGAACCCGCGTCTTTCAGACAACTAGTGAACTTACACAATTACCCTCCAAGAATTACGGATTCCCTATCGTACAACGTTAAAGTTCCACAAAAATATAAGATAATTGTGTCCAAAATCACAAAAAAGGAATATGTCCCCACACTGANCCCTTTTTTTTTTTTTCTTTTTTCTTTCTTTTTTTTTTTTTGTGCCATGTGAGGTCCGTGTGTCCGAGAATGTCTTTACGTTTTTGTCACGTGAGTGAATGTGGGGTCCAAGACAGAATTTCTTGTGTTTTCATCCGTTGATTATATTGTATTGTGGACCCTTGATGTGAAATCAAGATCATGAATCAAGAGATATGTTTTTATTTTTCTCTAGTGTTCCAATTGAGAACAGTTAACAATTCTTGCTTAGGAATAACAGAGGACACATAAATGATCATTTAAATTTGTGGGACGGAGTTGGATGCGCGATTTGTTTTGTTTTACATGATTGTTTTGAACATATCTTCGATTGACAACTGTGCTTTTCCTCATTGATGATGAGGGCATACGACTACTATAGTGTTGTTGTGTTATGTTGTGTCTTAATTGCATCAGTCGAGTTGTGAGTTACACTTGTGTTTGCATGTCATCTACATGGTTGTCATTTCAATGACATGTACATGGTTGTCATTTGCACGTTTGTTAAACAATTACATTGGCCTAACCTCACTTGTTGGCGATAGAAGGCAGTCGTTTAATGCTTATTCGGTATCTTGTTTAACTGTAGGATTTCCTATTTGAGCATTGAGCCTTGTAGGATATTTCAATATGTATTGGTATCTGCAATGTAATCAACTCGTATTTCAAGATGTGAACGTTGATTAGGCGGTTGCATAAATAAAGTTCTGAACAACTACGCGTATAATTTGCCGCCCCACTTACCTATTTAATAGGATCCAGTCAAATACTTTTTATATTGAAATGGCTTCATATTGCAAGCTCCAGCTGTCTACGAGACAAATAAAGAAACTAATAGTCTAATTCCCTCAGGTAGTTATTGGAATCATCCACAGACCATTATAATGGACTGGATATTTATAAAGTTTGGTCCCATGGGAGTTAACTTTTAGCGTTATATGGCCAACTTGCTTGTAATAGAATATTCAGAAATAGAAACCATACTTTTTTAAAAAGTTGTTTTTCTCCAATTAAACAGTTCTCGACTTTATTCATGTCCTTCATGCAAGCACTGATGGTGCAATTAGTCATCTTTTTGCAGATTACACGGCAATAGATGCATACGAAGTGAAATTTCCATTATCTCACGTGTCAAAGGCAAAACAAAAAGACATTCCACATACCTTTAATGTGGCTTCAATCTATGTGTAAAAACGTTTGCTTTTTCTTTTTATTGGGACATGCTTATTGATTATTCTACTCAGCTGTTGTTGTGTTCATTATCATCATTATCGTAAATATTATGTTCTTTAGCTGTTCGGAAGTATTGCTGTTATTACCTTAACATTTGGAGCGCCATTTGTTGCATAGCGACCTCGTTGTTTATGATTTCTTGCTTTTCAGATGGTTTCAGTCAAGCGATCTGCAGTTACCCCGAGTAAAAGTAGGTGGGCTCGCACTTTCTCTAAGATTTTCCACATTGGAGATGTGACAGCGAAAGGTTCAGACGATCAAATCCAAGAGACTTTATCTGATGAGAAGATGGCTGATAATCCAATTATGAATAGAAAACTTCCCTCTGACGATGAAGACGAGGAGATTCGAGATAGGGCAGTGAAAGAAGCTTTTCTTTCGAAACTGTTTGCTAGCCTCTCTACTGTTAAAGCCGCATATGCCCAGTTGCAGTTTGCGCAGTCTCCTTATGATGCTGATGGGATTCAATCTGCAGATCAGATTATAGTTTCTGAGCTGATGAATTTGTCTGAACTGAAGCAGTGCTACTTGAAGAATCAATTGAATGAGACATCTCCAGAGGCTACTCAGATTTCGGCTGAAATTCAAGAGCAGAAGAGTCTGCTGAGAACTTATGAAATCATGAGTAAGAAATTGGATTATCAGCTTAAACTTAAAAACTCTGAAATAACCTTTCTTAAAGAGAAATTGGCAGAAGCCAATAGAGATAACAAGTCACTAGAGAAGAGATTATATTCAAGTGGACAGTTAGCCGTGCCGGACAATATTCATTTATCCGGGTTAAGCCCCAGCCATTTTGTTGCATATCTTAGGCAGTCGATAAAATCAGTTCGGAGTTTTGTGCGATTGCTAATTAGTGAGATGGAATCTGCAGGGTGGGATTTGGATGCTGCAGCCACTTCGATTGAACCGGATGTTTTTTTCTGGAAGCCAAACCACAAATGTTTTGCTTTTGAATCATTTGTTTGCAAAGAAATGTTTGATGGTTTTAATTACCCAAATTTCTCAGCCGATCATGAGTCCTTGCTCGAGCAGAAAAAACAACAACAGCTATTCTTTGATGAATTCATGGAGTTGAAATCTGTTAGACCAGCCGACTACTTAGCATGGAAGCCTAAATCTACATTTGCAACATTTTGTCAAACTAAATACTTGCGACTTATTCATCCAAAGATGGAATCATCACTTTCCGGTGATTTGGATCAGTGGAAATCAGTGAATTCAGGTGAATACCCGGAAGTTCCCTTCTTCCTATCATTTGCTGAAATGGCAAAGCGCATATGGCTCCTCCACTGCCTGGCATTTTCTTTTGATCCCAAAGTCTCGATCTTTCAAGTGAGCAAGAAGAGTCGTTTTTCTGAAGTTTATATGGAGAGCTTAAGCGATGAGGCTTTCTTGTCATCAGATGGCACACCCGAAAACTACCCTCATGTGGCTTTCGCAGTGGTTCCAGGATTTAGGATCGGGAAGACCGTTATTCAATGTCAGGTGTATCTTCACTGATCATGAATTCCAAACTACTCTCAACTCTAATTCGAAGTTTAATATGGTAGATTTTACAGTACTGGATAACATTAAAGAAGAAAAAGACATTAGGAATATTGTTCATCGTACTTAACAGTGTGTCGGGTATTGCTTACCAAATATGCCTTAAATATGCATATTAGATAAGAAAGTATTAGATGGTACCATTAGGGATGACAATGGGTTGAGCCGAGCCACCCACGAGCTCGACGGCGAGTCGCGCTTGTGGCTCGTTGCTTGGGGGTGAGCTCAGCTCGGCCCACGAGCTC